TGTTATCAGAGAACAGAGCCAGGGAAAAACCGAGCCGAGCCCACCTCTGGAACTGGTCTGCAGTTAGCTCGGTTCGGTTGTGTCTAGCTCGGTTCAGTTCAGTTTTCTTTTCATTTACACACGATAAGTTACCTCAGTTACTGAGCTCGGACCAGTCTCGGCACGGTTTTGTCAAGGGTAGTGTAAATTGAGGTTTTAATTCGACGTGTTTGTAAATTACCTTTGGCTACTTTTATTAATAAAGCCTTGTAGTATTTACATAAGGGTCTCCATGTTTAGGATATACAATAACCTGCATGTGTTTTGATTTCCTGTTTGGTGAACCAGATTGGGCGTAAGAAAAACAAAGCTAAGGGAGAGATTTTCACCCTGGTGGCCCTCATGGTGTTGCTGGGACTCACCTGGGGCCTGATCTTCTTCTCATTTGGCCAGCTGACCACACCTGGCCTTTACGCCTTCTGCATTCTCAACCCTTTGCAAGGTCTGAAAACTTTTCTATATAGTCATCTGCTATGCATTGTGGTTTTACAATGCTTAAACATGCTGTTATAATGTCTTGACATAATATAAATATATATATATGTATATAATTTTCCCTTCAGACAAATTATTTAAAAACATGAAATCATTTTTCTAAATTTTTTTTTTTTAATACTTTTAAGATATTAAACTGTAATACTTTCTGTTTGTGGTAAATAACATTGGACATTAACAATTACATAATTATAACCATGTTATAAATGTAAAGTTGCAGCATGACTGAATCCCTGTCAGTAGTCTGGTTGCAGATCTTTTTCAAAATGAATGATGAATTAAATCTAAAATAATGCTGAGGTTACGAAGCTAAGACATTTGTTTCCTATTATTCCTCCTCCCTACTTATTGTTGAAGGCATTAAATACATTTATTTTCTGTCTTTTGCAGGTTTCTTCATCCTCGTCTATTTTGTCCTGTCTGTAAGAAATACCAAAACCTCATCTTTTCAGCCGAGATCTACAACATTTACAACTAGGTCTTCTTGAAGCGGTTTCACACTCACACTGTTAGATGTTCAAGGGTGGAAAGTAATGAATTACATTTACTCAAGTTACTGTAATTGAGTACTTTTTATGAGTAATTTGTAATTTTCTGAGTAGTTTTTGAAATATGTAATTTTTACTTTTACTCAAGTCAATTTTAACCTAAGTAGTTTTACTTTGCTACATTTAAAACCTCCTCACGTTACTGAGTAAAAAAAATAAATAAATAAAAAATACTGGTGAAAAAATTTTATGTGGGCCTGCCTTGCAATTACCCTTTGTATCGTCTCATACGAAGATGGTAGCTGCTAATCACAACGTAGGGAGTATGGATGAGGAAAGGCCTGAAGAGGAAACATATTCTGGAGACAAAAGCCAGAAAAACCCTCGGCCATATTTGGAAGGATTATTTGTTTTCAAATGCACAAAAGGTAACAATGTGATAATGCAGAGCAACATGTGGCTGCCCAGCAAAACGGAGCTTTCGGCTTTTAAAACATCAACATCCAATTTACGAAAACATGTGGCGGTAAGTTGGCGCTTGTGT